GGCAATCATAATTCCCTTGTAATTATTGCTATTAACGAAACCATTGCCTGCTTCGAAACATTTACATTTACGAAATGACTGCAATTTAATTCTCTTGATCGAATCATTGCAGAAAGGTGCCTTCTCTTGTGACATGTAAACTGTCGGGCTGTTTGCTTTACTTCGTAACCAAGCCAAACAACCAGAGCATCTTTCTAATGGCCTTCGTTGAGGACAGAAGTCGTCTTAAATCTCGCTTTCTCTCTAATATTCTCGCTCAACGTAACAATACTGTGGTCTTCTTCTTCTTCTTCTTCTTCTTCTTCTTCTTCTATGTGCTGTGTATCTGAAGGACGTTGACGATGATTAAAAGTTTTGGATATTAACCCATAGTTGAAAGTCTGGGATTCAGAATTGCCCTTCTCCACCCAAGTGTATAGGATCTGTCCTGCTATTTTACCCATAGCTGGGGGGAAAAGAGATGGATTAATACATTTCACAAGAGTATTCGCACGTAAATGAATATAACGAACCCGACAGGAATTCGAACTCTACTTTCCGATTCTTTAATCCAAGCCACTAACCATGATATATATATATATATATATATATATATATATATATATATATATATATATATTTGGTTGGATAGATGTGAGTTTGTGACCCTGGGTTTCACGCTTTAGCGATCGTCAGACAAACTGATTAATTTTAAAAATTTTGGGTTCATGTAGATTGCGTGTATTGGTGTTATTGTGGAAGTGGTGGGGGAAACTTCGTCGTTTTGTCATGAGTCTCGACGGACGACCAAGTATGTATATGTGTCTGCATACATCGATGTTTGCGTAAGTACGATGACAAAACGACGAAAAATAATCAGTTTGTCTGACGATCGCTAAAGCGTGAAACCCAGGGTCACAAACTCACATCTATCCAACCAAATATGTTAGCTCTATCTCTGATATTGAGCGCTTTCTAATAAGTACCGCGCATATAATATATAAATAATTATACATATATATATTTATTTATATTTATATAGACACACTTTTCACACACACACACACACACACACACACACATATATATATATATATATAAACTATATTTCTTCATATATATATATATATATATATATATATATATATGCAGAAATATAGTTTTAAAGTGTGCTATATTTATGGGATAGAGCATCAGGCCGCCCCATGATTGCGTCTAGCATGAAACAGCCTGTCGCCTGTGAGTGTTGATTTCACTCTTTCATATATATATATATATATATATATATATATATATATAAGATGAGGCAAAAGTCCTGCACTATAAGGGTTAATGGAAACATCGAAGAGCTCCCGTTGAGTGGCCACCGAGGTCAACAGACTTCACACCCTTGGATTTTTATGCTCTGGGGCCAATTGAAATCAGTGGTTCATCAGACACGCCCAAGGAATATTAAAGAAAGAATTAAATATGAATGCCGTAAAACGGCAGAGTTTCCTGTGCCATTTTACGGCATTCATATTTCAACTCTCTGACATGTTTATGAATCATGCAGGCACGCAATTGAAAAAGGAGGTGTACATTTTGAACGCACATATAACAATTAAATAACTGGTAAATAAAATTTTCATGTGTAATTAGACTTTTAATCAATTATTCATATAGTGTGCAACTTTTGCCTCCCCATATATATATATATATATATATATATATATATATATATATATATATATATATATATATATATATATATATCTGGCATTTTGTCTTCAGTCACTTTCTCACAGACGTGTTGTAGCTTCCCTCTGTCTTTTCTACAAATATTTTCATGGCAACTGCCTTGACGAGCTATTTTCACTGGTACCCCAACTGCATGAATTTAAGCGTTGCTACTGGGTTGGCATCTCGGTCCCACCCTTTCACTGTCGAAACAGTTAAATGTAACCGCCTCTTCTACTCCAACAGCTTCTTAACTCGCACTTCCCGACAGTGGAACTCCCTTCCTTGTTTCCCTGATAGCTATAATCTTCAAATATTCAAATATAATGTCAATCGATATCTTCTGATGTCTTGGTCTTGATCCCCGCCCTTCTCTATATCCTTTCCTCAAACCCCCCTCTTTACTCTTGCTCTCACTCTCTGTAGCCTCTTGGCGTGCTAGTGGCACTCCCGCCTTGCTTGGGGTGAAATGCTTTTATAAAAAAGATAGATAGATAGATAGATAGATAGATAGATAGATAGGCAAATTATATGTATCTACTTCGATAGATAGATAGATAGATAAATAGATAGATATAAAAAGGCAAAGATAGATAGATAGATAGATAGATAGATAGATAGATAGATAGATAGATAGCGTGCTACTAGGTTGGCATCTCGGTCCCCCCCTTTCACTGTCGAAACAGTTAAATGTAACCGCCTCTTCTACTCCAACAGCTTCTTCTCTTGCTCTCCCTCCCTGTAACTGCGAGATGAGAAGCTGTTGGAGTAGAAGAGGTGGTTATATTTCACTGTTTCGACAGTGAAAGGGTGGGACCGAGATGCCAACCCAGTAGCAACGCTTAAATTCATGCAATTAGGGCACCTGTGGAAATAACTCGCCAGAGCAGATGCTATGAAAATATTTGTAGAAAAGACAGAGGGAAGCTACAATGCGTCTGTGAGAAAGTGACTGAAGACAAGATGTCAGACCAGGACCTATCACATTGCATATTTGTCTCTGGATTTTGTCGAGGAATAGCTAAATTTCTTGTTATCACCATATCCGGCCGATCCATTATACGGCTTTCTGTAATTTTGAGATAAGTTATAATCAATTTTCAAGTTTTTTTTGTTTTTTTTTAGGCTGTAACATGAACAATTCAAATATATTGTGAATGATTTTACTTTAGAAATATATCGAATATCGTCATGAATGGGAGCGTCAGTTTTCAATAATAAATGTAAGTGTTACTGATAAAAAGTAATAAATTCTTTGTCAATAAGTTCTAAGGAAAACGGAAACAAAAAAAAACACACTTAGAATGATAAATAAACAGTTGAAATGTCTAGGTCACATTATAAAGGAAAGTGGGTTTGAGGAATTTAACACTCACAGGGCCAGCTGAAGGCAACTTGGAGAGGTGCAAACCTAGAATTAAATATGAATGCCGTAAAACGGCTAAAAAAGCTAAGGAACGTAATGGCAGAGGACGAAATGAGAGGGATAGTAAAAAGAAAGATGTTTCTAAGAGGTTGTGGAGAGCCATGATCGCCCATATCCTGAACGGACGCGGTATATAGACTGAGAAGATGTTAATGGTTCTACTATAGGAATGTATTTTAAATGATTTTTTTAAAAATAGTTACGGGTTGCTAACAGATTTACGATAGAAATTCTTTGGAAATCAGGTTTATCGAGATTGTCATTGGTTCAGGATTAACGCAAGCGTTTCTGACAGAATTATTTTATGTACAATTGCTGTCGAGTTAATCGACGGTAGATAAGAGTTTCGGGGTAAATCTGACAATGTGGGGAAGAAGAAGATTACGCATTGATAATCTCTTTTAGGAAAGGAGAATACTTTATGCGAAATTAAAACTTTAGATTAAGTTTTGACAATTTCGCTATTGATCTTTTATTTCATTTTTTTCTCGATTTTTAATTCCGTCTCTCTCTCTCTCTCTCTCTCTCTCTCATTCTATCTCTTTCTCTTTCTCTTACCCACTCTTCTACTTTGTCTTCACTTCATGTTATCGTTCTCTATTCTTTCTTTCGTTTATTCTTCTCGTACTCCTGATCTTTATTTTGTCATGTCTATCCTTTCTTTTTTTCTTTCTTTCTTTCTTTCTTTCTTTCTTTCTTTCTTTTTTCTCTATTCTCGTAGCCTTGTTTTTTCTCTTTTGTCATGCCTATTCTTTCTTTCTTTTTTCTTTCTTTCTTTCTATCTTTCTTTTTTCTTTCTTCCTTTTCTTTCTTTCTTTCTTTCTTTCTTTCTTTGGCTACCACTGTTCTTTCTTTCTTTATTCGACTACCTCTGTTCTTTCTTTCTTTCTTTCTTTCTTTCTTTCTTTCTTTCTTTCTTTCTTTCGCCTACCTCTGTTCATTTTTTTCTATATTCTCGTAGCCTTGTTCTTTCTCTTTTGTCATGCCTATTCTTTCTTTCTTTCTTTCTTTCTTTCTTTCTTTCTTTCTTTCTTTCTTTCTTTCTTTCTTTCTTTGCCTACCTCTGTTCTTTATTTATTCGACTACCTCTGTTCTTTCTTTCTTTCTTTCTTTCTTTCTTTCTTTCTTTGCCTACCTCTGTTCTTTCTTTCTTTTTTCTATATTCTCGTAGCCTTGTTCTTTCTCTTTTGTCATGCCTATTCCTTCTTTCTTTCTTTCTTTCTTTCTTTCTTTCTTTCTTTCTTTCTTTCTTTCTTTCTTTCTTTCTTCTCCCTAGCACTCAATTTTCATTACTGCATGTCAAAATAAAAATAATAAATTAAATAAAAATAAACTCAAAACTTTTATTTTATATATTTTTATTTATTTTATTTTATTTTTAATTCCTGACTTCATTCCGTTCCCCCACCCCCTGGTTACCAACTGCGTTTACGCGTCTTATTTTCTGCCCAGAACTCTTTCCGTAAATTCGACGGCTATGCCTGCTGGAGATTTCTCAGATTACAGGATCCACTTTGGGTAGCGATGCGACTGGAATCGTGTGGTGGGTCGGTGTTAAGCAGGAAATGCCAGTGATGTTTCCAAACAGTAATTCAATATTCGAACTTCTTGAAAGGTTTCGCAAAGGCTTGCCTTCAGTATTGATTATCGCATTCATAAACTCGGCTCCGGATAATAATAATAATAATAATAATAATAATAATAATAATAATAATAATAATAATAATAATCTTAGAAATAGTGCATGATTTTAATAGAAGGGGACGTTAATTTTGACTACACTTTTACGCATTCTTCTACTTTGTCTTCATTCATGTTATTGCTCTTTGTTCTTTCTTTCTTTCATCTTTTCTTCTCATACTCCTGTTCTTTTGTCATGCCTATTCTTTCTTTCTTTCTTTCTTTCTTTCTTTCTTTCTTTCTTTCTTCTCCTACTCTCTCATTTCTCTTTCTTTCTTCTCGTAATCCCGTTCTTTCTTTTTTGACATAACTATTCTTCTTTCTTTCTTCTTCTGCTTTTTCCTTTCTTTCTTTCTTTCTTTCTTTCTTTCTTTCTTTCTTTCTTTCTTTCTTTCTTTCTTTCTTTCTTTCTTTCTGCTCCTACCCTCTCATTTATCTTTCTTTCTTCTCCTATTCCTGTTCTTTCTTTTTTGAAATATCTATTCTTCTTTATTTTTTTTCCTTTTTTTCTTTCTTTCTTCTCCCTCTCTAATTTCTCTTTCTTTCTTCTCGTACTCCCGTTTTTTTCTTTTTTTTGAAATGCCTATTCTTCTTTTCTTTTTCTACTACTTTTCATTTCTTTGTTTGTTTCTTTCTTTCTTTCTTTCTTGTACTCCTCTCCCTTTCTGTCATAAGTATTCTTTCTTTCTTTCTTTCTTTCTTTCTTTCTTTCTTTCTTTCTTTCTTTCTTTCTTTCTTTCTTTATTTCTTTCTTTCCCGACTCTAATTTCTCTTTCTTTCTTCTCGTCCTTCCGTTCTTTTTTTTTTTGACACCCACTATTCTTCTCTCTTACTTTTTCATTTCTTTGTTTGTTTGTTTGTTTGTTTGTTTCTTTCTTTTCCTACTCTCTCATTTCTCTTTCTTTCTTACTCCTGTTGTTTCTTTTTTGACATACCTATTATTTCTTTCTTTCTTTCTTTCTTTCTTTCTTTCTTTCTTTCTTTCTTTCTTTCTTTCTTTCTTTCTTTCTTTCTTCTACTCTCTCATTTCTTTTTCTTTTTCTCGTAATACCGTTCTTTCTTTTTTGACATACCTATACTTCGTTCTTTCTTCTCCTACTTTTTCATTTCTTTCTTTCTTTTTGTACTCCTCTTCTTTTCTGTCATAGGTATTCTTTCTTTCTTTCTTTCAATAGTTCATGATTTTAATAGCAGCGGACGTTAATTTTGACTACCGTTTTACGAAACACTGACTTTTCTGTCGTCAGTTCATTTTCAACTCAACACGCATAGTTACGCAAAGGTGCAACAGGAAAAATAGAAATAGAAAGTAAGGAAACGAGTGGGAGGGTGAGAGAGAGAGAGAGAAAGAGAGAGAGAGCGCGCAAGAGGAACTGAAGGAGAAGGAAAAAAAGAAAGCGAACTGAAAGGGTACGGGAGAGGGAGTGAAATAGAGAAAAGAGGAACTAAGAGAGAGAGGAACAATGAGCGAGAGGAGAAGGAGGAGGAATAAGACTGAGTAAAAAGAATATAGAGGAAAAGAGAACAAGAGAGAGAGATATAAAGAGAAAGGATATGGACTGAAAAGAGAGAAAGAGAAGTAGAGAGAGAGAGGGGGAAGGGAACAGAGAAAGAAGAGAAATAGAGAGAGAAGAAAAATAGTGTGGAGGAGAGAAAATGTGAGAAAGAGTGAGAAATAGAAAGGGAAAAACTAAGTGATAGAGAAATAAAGAAACTGTGAGAAAGAGAAATTGTGAGGTGTTAAAAAAGAAACGACTGGGATAATGACGGACTAAGAAAGGGGGAGAGAAAGTGTATGAAAGAAAAGAACTAAGAGAGAGAGAAAGAGAGAGAGAGAGAGAGAGAGAGAGAGAGTGAGAGAGAATGAAAGAAAGAGAAAGAGAAAGAAGAAATAAAAAAAGAAATGAGTTCTATGGGCACGGAGTTTGATATAAAAAGGTTGATCAAGATAACTAGATATATAGATATATAGGACCAGATGAGGAGATACAGACAAAGAGAGAAATAGTGAAAAGAGGGTTTGATAAGAAAGGAAAAGAGATAGCATCTGGCGAAGATAGATAGATAGATAGATAGATAGATAGATAGATAGATAGATAGATAATTAATTGACCGAAAAAGATAGATAGATAGATAGATAGATAGATAGATAATTAATTGACTGAAAAAGATAGATAGATAGATAGATAATTGACTGAAAAAGATAGATAGATAGATAGATAGATAGATAGATAGATAGATAGATAGATAGATAGATAATTGACTGAAAAAGATAGATAGATAGATAGATAGATAGATAGATAGATAGATAGATAGATAGATAATTAATTGACCGAAAAAGATAGATAGATAGATGGGTAGATAATTAATTGACTGAAAAAGATAGATAGATAGATAATTAATTGACTGAAAAAGATAGATAGATAGATAGATAGATAATTGACTGAAAAAAGATAGATAGATAGATAGATAGATAGATAGATAGATAGATAGATAGATAGATATGAACAATCCGATATATATATATATATATATATATATATATATATATATATACTTTCTCCCAGGTTGGTAGTCTAAGACTGTCAGTCACTGCGGAAGACAACTCTGGATTCAAAACCGGTTAGTGGTCTAAACAGCAGATAGAAGCTCTCCATCACGGGTTATCCCACTATATAGAGAATGTAATACGATTAAAAAAAAATTATCCATCACATAGTAGCTTGGGCCACTCGCAGGGATGTGTCGACCTGAAAAAATGCACAATAACTGAAATTCTTAAGTCACGTAAGTTGCGTTATTTGCTGCAAAGCCGAGATATCGTCTTTTTTAGTTTTGAAAGGAAGACTTGATTGATTCTTAAAGGAAGACTTGAATGTCACTCTTTCATATGTACGAAAAACTTATCTTTCGTTATAAACTGGCATTAGCCCTGATGATTAGTCGAAGACCAATTCAATCGCTTGGCGAATTTCAGTGTCGTCTGATTTCCACTTTTATGGCTTGAACCTTGTTAAATTAAGCTTTGTAGATACTAAATTAAGCTTTGTAGATACTAAATTAAACTTTGTAGATACTTAATTAAGTGTTATATAAATGTTACTTTTCCACTTAAAAGGGGCTAAAACAATTCCTAGGGACCTCAAACACACTATCCGCGGAAAGGAGAAGAAATTTTTAGTGGGTGTCAGCTTTTCTTAATATCAGTTAATAAATTTATTTATTCTTATAAATTAAAAAAAAAATGTGACAGAGACATTATCCCAAAATGCCACGCCTCTTCCGGATGTCTCAGTTATTTCCCTTTAACTCTCCAACTTTTGGTTTACCACTGCTGTAGTCTGGTATTAGAACTCACAACTAGTCACTGGATCTAGCTAACGTCTTTATCCACTGTGTCATGTGTCCTTGAGAACATTTGTGTGAAAGAGGCATAGTACGTAAAACTAGATCAATACACCCCGGTGGACGAAATAAAGGGTTTGATTCGAAATTCCAATTACCTGAAGAAGGCCGGAGCGTTCAACGGCCGAAACGTTGGGAATATAGCAATGACGATGGGGATAACAGTTCGAATAATATAAATAATGCAATTAATTTTAATGTCACCCTTTACAGTTTATGCTATCACCGCTGGTAATACCTTTGGCGATATGCTTGCTTCTGGCCCGCTGCACCTTTCCCTAAGTAAGTAATGACCCTTTTGTGTCCTTGTCTTATATGAAAAGTTGAATTATCTTGTATACTAATGACTACCCAGACGCTGTAAAGTGTAGACCAGCGCTTCTTAAACTATGGGTCGCGAACTCAAATCTAGTTGCGAAGCGAAATGCTGGGGTTGCGAAAATTAAATTCAAACAATTGAATTTCAGTCTATATGTATACTAGCAGTATAACCCTCTGTGACCGGGTCTTTCATTGCTGGGAATTTTTGCCGTTCAATTGGAGCAGTTTAAGTTTAAAGTCAGACCACCCAAAAATCAATATTAGTAACAGCATTTCGGTGCAACTGAGGCACCCCCCCAAATGGGGGGAGGGGTAACAATTTGAATGGGGAGGGTGGTGGTCCTAAAAAGGGAACTGTATAATAATAAATAATATTATTGCAATAATTTAAACTATTTATTTTTATTAAAGTTTTTACGAAAGATATATATATATATATATCCAAGAACAGATAGTAAATAGCAAAACGTTGCTGAGAGTTATAATGGACAGGAAGTAGTGGAGAGCCATTGTCGCCAACAATTTGGACTGGTACTGAAGAATTATTTATCAAACAAAAATAATCATCAAAATCGGATGAAAACTGTGGAAATGCATAAACATCCAATCGCACACACACAGACATACATACAACACATTTTGGGAATTATAGATATAGATTTCACACACTTCGTTTAACTCCAGAGTATTACTATATTAAATGTATATAGAGGCGTGTTTACGAGGAAAAGGCTTTCTCTTCTACTTCCTCTCTTATCGAACTCTCTGTCTCCGGGCAGAGAGGAACCCAGACGAGGCTATGCCGAAGGGCAGAATCTTGTTTGGGGAGGCAGACAAACCCGACCCTGTGTATACGGAGACTACGGGCAATTTTTGCCCGAGCCTACGGGCTCGGAACGCCCCACGTTAAAAACTGTCATTGTGCCACATCTTGCCTTGTGGGGGAGCTTGGTAAATAGAAAGGCGTGTTTAGTAGACCTTGAGTTTATTTCTTAGGTTTTATTCAGCAAAGAACATGGCAATACACATCTCGTAGCCTTTCATCCCGAAATAAAACCCGGTAAGTTATACCGGAAAAAGCCAAGAGAACAGTAACTGTCATACGAGAAGACGGCAAAGTAGGCAATCTTGTGAGTTATGATGCTAGTAATCCCACACTCAATAACCGGAAGAAGTCGAAGCCGGCGGATTTTAACTACAAAGAGATCTTTTATTACATAATGGAAAGATAAAACAATCAATAAACGAAATTAACTCCTTAATCTATATATATAAAATTGTAGCCTCTGTCTGTCTGCTTGTTATCGAACTCGTCCTATGATTTTGGAAATAGACTACCATAAACATATATATTCGGAAACTGCTTTACTCAGGGTACTTGGATAAGTATATTTCATTCTGATCGAAGGGGGTTTCTGGAAGCGGTGTGTTAAACACTTCACTAATTTTTTTTCCGTTTCATATAAATTAAATTTAAATTTGAACGAGGGTATGGCTCCTAAGGTATTTGGATAAGTATATTTCATTTTGATTAAAGGGGTTCCAGGATGGGTTGGTGCACAAATCCTAAACTGAAAATTTGTTTTCCTTTGATTTAAATTAAATGTAACTTTGAACAAAGCAATAATTCCTATTCAAAATATAGAAGGAGAAATCCAGAAGATGAAGGTCACATCAGCAAGATCGTTTTTTTTTTTTTACTAATATGGCAATTTGAGAATTTTTGTTGTTGTTTATCAGTCAATGTGGCATGAATTAAATTGTTCAATAAATAGAGCAATGTCTCAGTTGTTATCCCGAAAATTTGCACGTCGGATCAGTTCTTTTAAACCAAATATGTGGTGCAGTTCAATTTATATTACATATATATTTGAACCATTTTTCAATTACTCATATTTTTTAGGACAACCCAACTTTTAGGAAATTTACAATCTTAGATGGTTTTATTTTCGTAAAAAGTTTTTTTTTAAAAAAAAAAAGAAGATTACTCACTTGGTAATATTTTGTTCGCTCTAGATCAAAATCTACACACTCTAACAATATATGTTAGAGCGTGTAGATGTGTGTATATAACAGTATAACAGCAATAATTAAAATTTACAGTTCACTGTAAATTTTAATTATTGCTGATAATAATTTTTTCTTCAAAAATTATTGCTGGTAATATTTTTCTTATTACAAAGTATTTCTGGTATTAAAACCTATTTTTACACAAGTTTGGGTGTTACTATTTGTCCATACTTGGAACCGCACCAGGTGCTACCACCCCGGGTCAGGGTGGACCTGGGAACACAAGCAATTAAGAGGTGGTTCCACGCTCCTCAATACCTCCTGATCAGAGGCCTTGCTGCTGGACGTAGTTTATCATCTTACCCAGGACGTGGATGTAGTTTTCGTCTTACCCAGGACGCGGATGTAGTTTTTGTCTTACCCAGGACGCGGATGGAGTTTATCGTCTTACCCAGGACGGTTAAGTTG